ATAAATTAACCAAATCTTATTTTTAATACTTCATTTGAAATGTCCTCAAGAGAATTCTAAAAATGAATTAAAATGCTTCTTTCAACAACTATCTTTTCTCCATGGCATTCTTTCTTCTTTCCATGTGTATCTAATTAGATGCAAGTTCATACAATCCACAAATCAAAGAAATGAGCCATATTGTAATGTTTTAAATAAATAATGCATCAGAGATGCTCAATAATATTTGCAGGAACGAGTGTGAAGAAGATCGATTAGCAAACAAGTTGCAAAGTGCGGTAGTCGATTTTTAATAATTGTGGGGAGAGAGTGTGGTGGATGGGACAAGATGCTCTGTAATACTCTCTGCAGTCTGCTTTAGTGGTCGCTTTCTGAAAGGCTAAATGGTTTGGTTAATAAGTAATTGGATTGGTGGTAATATTTTATTTTAAATAAAATATCTGAACTCTCCTCTTTTTTTTTTCCCTTACATGCTAGTGTGCTTTGCTTTTCTATGAGAAAAATATACCTAAATGTCATATAAAAAATTTATTATTAAAAAATATCATAAAATTCATAAAATTTTTTAAATTTTAAATCCTACACATTTACAAATTGATAAAAAACATTTATAATTTGAAAAAAAAATTTAACTTGATATATAAATTGTTATTTTTGTTTGCAAGTTATAAATCATCTTTGCTCAATTATAAATGCATGTAATTTAAGAATTGAGAGTCTTTTTTTTAAATTTTATAGGACCTCTTGATAATAAATTAGCTTTTATGGGATGTGTAATTTTTCCCTTTTCTATAAGCAAAAATAAGTAAGAGAAAAAAGACAGAAAAAATAAAAGGCTTGTTTGACAACTTATTTTAAAAATAATTTTTTTCTTTTTCAAAATAAAAAAATTTTGATAATGTAATTTTAGAAAATATTTTGAACAAAATTAAATATTATTTTAAAGAATAGAAAAACAAAAATATTTTTTAATTATTTTAAAATTATTGTACTTAAAAATAAAAATATAAAAATATATTTTTATTATTTTTTAATTTCAAAATATATTTTATAATATATTAGTTCTTAAAATAATAAAATAAAAATAATTGTAAATAAGCTCTAATATTATATGATTTCCTCATTTTTAATTGAGTGTTGTTTTTGAAGTTCCTTTTATATTATTTTTTATACTTTTATTATATTCATGCTGATAAAATAAGTAGATATGACTTATAAATAACGTTCAATAATTGAGAAGTGAGAACAAAAAGCAATAGGGAAAGCACTTGCTATGTTTATTTTGGACGCGGACGTTTCAACATGGTTGTAAATGTATCGTACGTATCGGACAAGATGCTCTTTAATAATTGAGAAGTGTCTCACGAAAAAAAAAAAAAACAACAAATCTCACCAAAAAATAATAATTGAGAAGTGAGGACAGTGAGCAATATTGAAAAATTGAAAACACATGCTCTAAGTTATTTTTGGACGTTGACGTGTCAACATGCATATAAAATGTATTGTACCTATTTCTGCTTTTTCCATATCATTCAAGTAGCCCCTCCTGTTTTGCAGGGAACACCACCAGAAAAATAGACTTTAGCAAGGTAAATGCCATTTTTCTTGATTAAATTATATTTTAGTGAGAGATTTTATCTCTCATTAAATTTACAGTTAAACAAACTCATTAAATTTAATGAGGAATCATATTTTTTTTTACTAATTAGCATGAAATTTAACGAGCTATTTAATTCCTCACTAAAATTAGCGAGAGACTATATACTTAGTTAATACTGTTTAAAATTTGATAACTTTAGCGAGGGATTAGTCTCACTAATTCTTCACTAAATATGCATATATTTAAAAATAATAATGCCACATCACCCGTCATGTGTGCATCAACTTGCGACATGTCACCAACAATTTCATGCCTCGTCAATCATCATGTCACCTACCATCTTGTACCATATCATTCACCACATGTGCGACATTCATGACATGTCATTGTCCACCATGCGCCATGTCACTTGCTCCTTACTATATCAAATATTTATTATATTTATGCCAAAGCTAAGACTTAAACCTTTGACTTCATACTTTTCAAGCCTTGTAATCTTCTTTTTTGTCAGTTAAACTGAAAGGCACTTACAGTTATTATATGAAAAATTAAATATATATTATTTAACTATATAAATATATGAAATAAAATATTATAAAAACACACACATATATATGTATTAAATTTTATTTTTCATTATTAATATGTTAAAAATATTTATATTTTATTTAAATTATTCTTTATATTATATTTTTAATAAAATATTATTTTCTTAATGAAAATCAACTTAAAATAAATAAAATATTAAATAATTTTATTATGAATATTTTATTTAATTTTTATATTTAATTTTTATTTTAAATGAAAATAATTAAATATATAATTAAAATTTATTATCAAAAGTTAAATTTTTTTTACAGTAAATAGTTAGCGATAGAATCCTTCACTAATTATTTTATTTTAGAGAGGGATTGACAGTCTCTTGCTATTTTTTTCACTAATGGATAGTCCCTTATTATTTTTCTGGCTAATTGTCTTATTTTAAAGAGGGATTGGTGGTCCTTTACTAATTCTCTTATTTTAGAAAGGGATTCACAGTCTTGCTATTTTCCTCACTAATTTTAAGTTAAGTTATGAAATTAACATCTCTCGCTAATTTCCTTATTAATTTGGTATTTTAAAGAGGAATAGATGATCCTTCACTAAATTTTCTCACTAATTTATATTTTTTTAGTAGTGTAAACTAGTTAATCACCTGTGCATTATATGATATGTTATTTTTACAAATCCTTTAAAGTGATAATTAGTACATATTAATTATTTATATCAATAAAAAGATATAATTTTAATAGAAAGAGTAAAAATGTTTTGTTTTAATAATTTTAGGGAGAAAATTACTTCAACAAAAACTTTAAGATATAGGTGCTTCTCGAGAAATACATCAAGGAAAAAAATATACTTGAGCTCAAAATTAAACCTCACAATTGGTGAATCTTAAGGTTTTGAAATAACACACAATATATATATATATATTTTTACTGTTTACCTATTTATGATAATTAGGATCAGACGTCGTGTTTCGTTTTGCGTTGAGTGGCGAGTAACAAAAGTAGAGAAACTGGCCAATCAATGAGCAATGTCGGAGTTTGTAACCTCGATACTGATAATGTGAAATGCATGGGTGGTCACCAGAAGTCTCTAACAATGACATGTTGTGGGCGTTGTGCATTATCTGCAGGAATCATGAACCTGACAATTCTTTGTCCTGATTCTGTAACCGTGGCTGTGTCTGAGTCTAAGAGTTTTGTGGACGATAGACTCTCAATGATTGAGACACGCATGAGTCGTACGTTTTTGGATGCTGAAAACTGAAAAGTGAAAAATAATAATCACAAAAATGCACTAGATTATCCTCCCTCTCATGTAAGTATATAAAATAAAATTATAAATGTAAAAAATTGTCACACTTAAAAATGGAATAAGAGTTGGACCCATGGACTGCCTGTTCAGGCTTATCTTATATAAAAGTTTGAATTTGAAAAAAATGATAAATTATAAAAAATTAAATTTTGAAGCTCAACCCTGCTATACCTTTAAAAAATGGATTTGTGCTTAGACGGTTTAAGCTTATTTTTATTTTATCCTTAAAAAATAAAATATTTTAAATTTTGTTGGTCTAAAATATTTTTAATTTTTAAATTGGATTTAAACTTTAGGATATGTTTATACTTTAAAATGATAATTTTTATTATTTATTTTTAACTTTTGAACATTATAATTTGCATTCTTTTTAAAAAGTGATATATTATAATTGAAAATTTTAACTTTTAAAAATTTAAAAAATAAAAAAAATAAACGAGTTTGCAGGTGATACTGAGTTTCGTAAATAATGGCCGGCATTAGAAAATGATCAATTTTGGAGGAATTGGGCTTGTCGGCCTGCCTTTCGACTCCACACCTTTAAATACCTTGTGAATCATGAACCTCAATCTTATAAACTAAATTATTTTTCTTTATAAACATGGATGACTTATTTCTTTTCTACATCTTGATCATTCTATTTTTATCTTTAAAGTAAAATATTTTAACCACCCTTTCATTTTTCCTTAATTACATAAACATTTCCTCAATTTTAAAAACATAAAATTTAGTCCAATTTGTTTGTTAAATTAAAATTTATATTGAAACAAATTTTATTTACTAATTTACCTCTCAACCTAATAAATTATAATTTAAAAATTTAAAATTTAAATTATTTATATGATCTCTTAAACTTGTATCATTTGATGTTATGTGATGAGTAAAAATATATGAAATATGTTTTTAGCTATGTCAAAAAATAGATAAACAAAATTCAGTAAATTTGATAAAAATTAATGTTATAAAATTTCATAATATAATAAAAAATAAAATTTTTATAACATAATAAATTTTTTGGATAATATAGATTTTGAGATAATTCTTATGTTAAAGAGGGTCATTTTAGTGAATTTAAAAGTTAAAAAGTTAAAATTAACGGTCAATAGATAGATAGAAATGAAATTTCAAATGTCCAAGAAGAGTTTGTATAATATATACTATAATTTTTTTAAAAAATTATATGAATTTTTTTAACAAAGAAAAGAAGTGTAAGTAACTATGACATAATAGACAGGTGATTGCTATATTCCACTCTTGTCTTCATTTCTTTAACTTGTTCGTTTGTTTGATGCTCTTATCCAATAACAACCAAGCCGCCCCTAATTGTGAATTGATAAGGGACCTACGCACGCGCAAGTTGATTTTGAGTTTTTGACGTTTACATACATTGCCTCTTTCTTTTTCTTTTGTTGTTGTTGTTGTTGAGCATATTATTACTTTTACTATATCTTCTTATATATAATCACATTTTTTCTTCTTTGACACTCTTATAAGTTAAAACTTGCCCTATGAAATTAATACACATAACAAATGAACGGTCTTTAAAACAAACACAACTTAATATCAATCCATCATCTCCCCATCACACAAAATCTATAAGCATATAAGCTATACCTAGACATGCAAAAACTCAAGTCGTAGTTAAGATCCATAGAATATTACATCATCAGTTTATAATTAATTATTAATACGAATGATATCCAATCCTCTCTTATTGGCAATTCTGGCCTCATGTTGAACTTCAAAATAGTCCTTGTACTTGATTGTCTTATAAATTGGTTGTTCCTTCTCAAGTAACTCAGGTGCAGGACCAGTTTCATTCTCTAGTGAAGGACCATTACCTAGTGCAAAAGTAACCCTTGTGTGTCTTTCATTCGCCACTGCTCTGTGCCTAATACTCTTGTACCTTCCATTTGTCATACTCTAATAATATATTCCACCAAAAACACAACAAAGAAAGCCAAGCTAGGGTTAGAAGATGAGAGGTGGTTAAGTTAACTAATTATGAGTAAAATACTTTAACCCCCCTTCTATTTAACCTTAATTATAGCCTCTTTTCTATTTTTAAAACTTATACAAACCTCTCCTAGAATTAGTATTACAAAACGCATACCTTCCTCCTATTTTTAAAACTTTGCTTTCATCTATTCAAGTGTTAGTTGATTATTAAGTAACATATGTTTGACCAAAAATACCTCTCTTTAAACATATGTTATCTAAAATTCATTCTTAAGTTACCCCAAAAAATTAATGGATATTTTTTTACCCTTTTTAATTCATATTTTAATTTTTTTTGTTAGGAAAACTAGTTTATTTAGTTTTTTTTAAATAAGTTGGCTAAAATAATATTTTAAACACATATCAATATAATTTATTTTTATTTTTATAATTTTAATTCACTATTTATAAATCATTTATTTAAATATTGTTGTACTTAATTATTTAAAGTTCCTTAAATTTGGGAGAGTATAGACCAAGGGAAAATTAATGATTTTAATTTTTAAATATAATTATAAATAAAAATTAAGAATTTTAGTTTCTTTAACAAATACTCCTAACAATATTAAGAATTTGACTAAATGGAGGTTTTAAAAATAGAATAGAGGTTGCTATAATTTTAACAAAATGAAATAGAGGTAAGTGTAAATAATTATTGACCGATACAATGTAAAAATGTAGAAAATGGATATACTAGATTCAACATGTTTGAAAAGTTGAAATAACCTCAAGTTGATCTCCAATGTTGACAATTATGCAGTTAGGAAGAGGGTTGACATTGACCCATTTGCCATCGTGCATGACTTGAAGGCCATTTATGTCATTTTGAACGAGAAGTGTCATCAAGCCATTATCATTATGTGGAGGCAACGCTAAAACGAGGTCTGGTTGAGGACATGGAGGATACAAGTTGACTTGACAAGTCTGATAACTTGAATCATAGTCTGTGTACTCAATAATGGCTTTGGGTTGTAACCTTAAACTCTCTGATACTCCTTGAAGCAAAATCCTCAACACCTCCCTGATTTTCCTACTGTACTCGAATGCAAGCTTGCTACAAAGAACAAAAACCAAGGTGTTCAATGAAGAAGAGAGAGAAAAAAGAAGGTGATGATGATGAAGTTCTTGAAACATACGAGAAACCAGGAGGCTTGTGAGGGAAATTGAAGTTAGGATGTGTTTCAACTTTAAGATAATCTCTCCAATAATGAACTTTCTCTCCATGAGGAAGAGTACTAGTGCCATATCTAATGGGTGTGATCAGTTCTTCATTTGCAAGCTCCTTCTTCTCCTCAAAAGACAAGTTGTGAAACTCCATGGACATGTTCAGTAGATCCTTCATCAGCTTCTTCGAAATCCCATGATTTATGATCTGGAAAGTGATGTATCCAAGTACTAAATACCACTTCTAAACCTTGGGTTAAGGAAAAGGTTGAAAATTTACCATGAAGAAGCCCGATTCTTTGCAGACACTGCCGAGATCTTGAACAGTGTTAGCGTGGACGTGAGGGTCGTCGGAGGTGAGGAGAGCGAAGTCAATAACAGGGATGGAAGCAGCAAGGTCGTCTTCTACAACATCTTTACGAAGCTCAGTGATAGAGTAGTAGGTGGAAGGGATTGAAATGGCGTTGTTTGATTCAATGAAAGCTTTAACGCTTGAAATATGAGATGCTTGAAGCTCTTGGGGCTTTGATGACGAAATAGTGACTACTGATGAAGCCATGTGAATAAAGGTTGAAGCTATTGTGATTAGCTAGAAATGAAAGCAAAGGGAATAATAAGTTCATATATAGATTAGATTATAGATATATATAGAATATTGCAGGGTTGATGAGGAAGTGAAGATTGGGGGCGAAGTGAAAAGAGGAAAGAGACAATACAACTAATACCTTGGTTAGTAAATTAGAATTGGAGTTATGGAAAGGGAATAAGAATGATAATCTTACAACATAAAATTCTTGAATTTGTAAAATTATTTGAATTAATATTTGCAAATTTTTTTTTAAAATTTTTTTATTGAAACCTAACGACTATTAATTTAATGTTTTGAGACTTAACTATTATTCATCTTGATATATGTTGGGCAAGAAAGACTAATTATTATTCCAATTATTATCACTGTGAGAGTGTTTTGGATAGAGTATAATTTATGGGTAACATTAACAATAAGGTTTTGAATTTAGCATTAATTTTTTATAGTGAAAAAAAGATAGGTTTTAAATAAGGTTTGACTCTTGATTAGATGCATGATTGAATGTTTTAATTGTAATTTGCAAGATGTCAAAGGGTATGTGCAAGGGAACTAGGCAATGTAGGCCTTTCTTTATTTGGGTCTTAGAAAAAGGGAATGAGCTCATAGAAATAAATGCTTGCAAGCTTCACAACCCAAATATGATAAATTAATGTTTAAATTTTTGTTAGAAGAGGTGTTCATATTTAATGCCCAATAATGCCTCGAACAGGATTGCCTCTAATAAAAAAAAAGGTTTAAGCATCAAAGCCTATTTATTGAATCAAACGATACCATGTGTATAAAGACTCTGATATTCTTTAATCATATAAAGTCTGTGTAACTAGAGAAAGATGTGCATGTAATAGAAAATCTCATGTAAATTGTAATATATGTGGTGTATTGTGTCTATCTTTCTCTAGTTTTTTTTTGGTGAGGGTGTGGGATTTAATTACCATTTTCAAGAGAGATTAATTAATACCATGGAGAAATGGGTTTATGAAAATAACCTGGATTAGCCTCCTAATAGTGTGTTAATTTAAACAAACATGCATGTTGGAAATAAGACCAAAACCAACATTCTGAATGAGAAATCACATTAAAAGAAATGCCACTTTTAAAAGTTGAAGAGGTTGGATTAATCAATCAAACATTAATTTACTTTACAAAACTTGGTTGAAAGGTGTGATTAGTTTGCAACATTATGCAGATAAATCATATCCAAGCCTCTATTGTCAACAATTCTAGCCTCTTGTTGAACTTGTAAATATTCCTTATAGTTGATGCTCTTGAACAATGGCTTTTCCTTCTCTAACAGCCCCATTGCAGGCCCTATTTCTTTATCAAGAGTTGGTCCATTCTTTAGTGCAAAACTTAGCCTTGAGTCTCTTTCATTCACCACTACTCTGTGCCACATGCTCTATACCTTTTGTTACTCACAATCTAATCAATCAATTCAAAAACACATAGCAATCAAATAAGGCCATTAATTAATTAGAAGCTAGAACCATCAAAAATAGAATATGCATGGTTGAATTAAAATTTGAAGAGTGACCTCAAGTTGATCTTCAATGTTGGCAAGTAAGCATGAGGTAGAGGATTCACATTAACCCATTTGTTCATAGTGTTTCACTTGAAGGCCTTTGATTCTATTTCCAATAAGGAGGGTTCAGCAAGCCATTGTTAGAATGAGGAAGCAACCCTAAAGTAAGGTTTGGCTGTGAGGACATGGAGGATATAAGTTCACTTGACATGTTTGATGGCTTGATTCAAAACCTGTGGACTCAATAATGATGTTGGGTTGTAATCCTAAGCTCTCTGATATTCCTTCTAGCAAAGTCCTTGCCACATCTTTGATTCTCTTATTGTACTCAATTACTCAAATGCATCTCCCATAAAAAATTTAAAAAAAAGTAATTCAATGAAAATGCCATATTTGCAATCAAAATATAACTTTGACATTACTTGTTAAAGCTTTGAGAGATTTTCTTATGCTCTTCATATTGTTGAGCAAGAGGATTCATATAAGTGTGATTTGACATTGCTATTTAACCAAAACTTTTATGATGTTAGATTCATGTATCTATTCATATAAATATGTTTTGTGTAGGACTTTAATTTAATTTAAAACAAATTGGATTTAAGCTAAGTCCTCTACAATTTAGATGTACATATGAATTTTTATGAGTTTTTCATTTTGTAATATTTTTCATGATTCTATTTTTTTTATAACATATAAAATATTTTTTTTGATCTTTAAAAAAGCAAACTTATTAAAATTCATAGATCTTAATTTTAGAAGATTTAAATTCTCAAGATTTTTTTCCTAGTAAATTTATAAGTCACTTTTAACCATCTCACTGAAATAAGGAGATGTCATTAAATTATTGGTGTTTCTAAAAAGAAAGAAATTTCTCAATTTAACTTCATTAAATGAAAATTTTTAAAAACACTTTTTTGTTCTAAGAGAATTTCAGTTAAGTACCTTTGTAGAAACTTAATTTCAGTGGGTTAAATTTTTTTTGAATTTCAATTTAATTCAAGGGAAAAAAGTCAAAAGAATTTCGTCGGTAAAAAGATAAAATACCCTCCACGTATTGTGCAGAATCACCAGTTGTTAATTTCTTAATCCACTTGTTAATTACGAATATGAATTACAAATTAAATGAGTTGATTGTCAATAATTATATAATACTTAACATAATTTTTTTAATTATAAGCAGTAAGATTAGTTGTCAAATTATAAATATACTTGTTAATTTACTAACATTAGTTGTAACTTACTGATAGGTTTGTAATTACAAACATCAATTATAACTACTGATAAGTCTTGTAATTTTTTACAACTGATGTTAGTACATTAAAAAGTAAAGTTAGCAAAATTAATAATTAATGTTACTGATTGTCTGGTAAATGAATGCAATTTACAAGTGATATTAGTAAATTACAACTGTAGTAAGAAAAGTTAATACTAGTGATTCTGCATAACAAATAAAGGATATCTTGGTCTTTCATCGGTGAAGTTCTTTTGACTTTTCTCCCCTACTGAACTGAAATTTAAAAAAAAAATTTAGACTCACCTAAAATTAAGTCTCTATAGA